CATTGAAGGACATGTCCTGGTCAAACATGACTCCAAGGTTCCTCACAGCGTTACTGGAGGCCAAGGTAATGCCATCCAGAGTAAGAATCTGGTTAGATACCATATTTCTAAGCTTTTCAGGGCCGAGTACAATAACCTCAGTTTTATCTGAATTAAGAAGCAGAAAGTTAGCGGCCATCCAGGTCTTTATGTCTTTAAGACATTCCTGCAGTTTAACTCATTGGTGTGTGTTATCTGGCTTCATGGACAGATAGAGCTGGGTGTCATCTGCATAGCAGTGTAAATGTATGCTATGTCTTCTAATGATGCTGCCTAAGGGAAGCATGTATAATGTAAACAGAATTGGTCCTAGCACTGAACCCTGTGGAACTCCATAATTAACCTCAGTGTGTGAAGAGGACTCTCCATTTACATGCACAAACTGGAGTCTATTAGATAGATATGATACAAACCACTGCAGTGCAGTACCTGTAATACCTACAGCATGTTCTAATCGCTCTAATAGGATATTATGGTCGACAGTATCGAACGCTGCACTGAGGTCTAGCAGGACAAGCACAGAGATGAGTCCACTGTCAGAGGCCATAAGAAGATCATTTGTAACCTTCACTAAAGCTGTTTCTGTGCTGTGCTGAGCTCTGAAACCTGACTGAAACTCTTCAAATAAGCCTCTGCAGATGATCTGTTAGCTGTTTGACAACTACTCTTTCAAGGATGTTTGATATGAAGGAAGGTTGGAGATTGGCCTATAATTAGCTAAGACTGCTGGGTCTAGAGATGCTTTTTGAGTAAAGGTTTAACTACAGCCAGCTTGAGAGGCTAGCAGAGGCTAACAGCAGAGTTACTGATAGGAAAGTTCAGCATATCCTCAACAGCTCACCTCAGTAAGGCGTTCATCAAAGTTTTACAGCCTCCTCCACAGTAAATAAAGATGCTTCTCACCCAGCTTTGACAGCTGAGGTAAACAGCAGTCTGTTCCTTTAATACTCAGACGCTGCAGTTCCTCTGATGTCCAGCAGAGGTTATGAAATAAATCTGTAATATTCAAACTTAAGTCAGAAGATGAAATATCTTTGTTTATCAGAATTAAGTACTTCTTAAACTCAGCCTGCGACTGAAAGTGTTAGAAACAGCCAAATATCAGACATGTTCATTGAAGACTAACATTGAAAGTGTGCGTGTGTTCGCAGAGATCTCGTGGTCTCCAGGTTCAGGAAAAGAGCTCGGCGAGGTCAAACTGTCCATCTCCTACAAGAATGAAAAACTCTTCATCATGGTGATACACATCCGAGGCCTGGTCAGTGTGTCGTGTTATTATTAGATTCATTTATAGCTTTATTTCTATTTGTTTTTATTACGTTTTTGTATATATTTCTTTATTATTATGATTACTCTAGTTTCTGTTGTGTATATACTTTTTTTTAAATTATGTATTCTTGGTGGAGCAGCGGCTCTACTCTGAGCCCCTCCCGGATGGCTGAAATCTCACCCTATCTCTAAGGGAGAGGCCAGCCACCCTTCGGAGGAAGCCCATTTCCGCCGCTTGTATTCGCGATCTCATTCTTTCGGTCACTACCCACAGCTCGTGACCATAGGTGAGGGGAGGGGCGTAGATCGACCAGTAAAATGAGAGCTTCGCTTTTACACTCAGCTCTCTCTTCACCACAACAGACCGGTGCAGCGTCCGCACCACTCCGTCTGTCGATCTCCCGCTGCCTTCTCCCATCACTCGTGAACAAGACCCCGAGATACTTGAACTCCTCCACTTGGGGCAGGAACTCGTCCCCGACCCGGAGTGGGCACTCCACCCTTTTCCGGCTGAGAACCATGGCCTCAGATTTGGAGGTGCTGATCCTCATTCCCGCTGCTTCACACTCGGCTGTGAACTGCTCCAGTGCGAGCTGGAGGCTGTTACCTGATGAAGACTCCCCATACTCCCAAAGCCCAACCCACAGAATACTCAGATGGACATGGCCGTCTGAGTATTCACCTCCGGTGTCCACTTGCTGGTTTGGGGGTTACACCTAGGGCTGCTCAATTAATCGAATTTTAATCACGATTACGATCTGGGCTTTCAACGATCATTAAAAATGACTGAGCCGATTATTAGCCCCTCCCTCATTTATCCGCGACACCTTAAAGGCCGGTCCGTGAAAATATTGTTGGGCATAAACCGTCCGTGGCGCAAAAAAGGTTGGAGACCGCTGATTAAGAGGACCCGAGGGAAGCTCGGAAAGCTAAGCAGAAGTTATTTGGAGAGTGACTGCCGTTGGTTGAAAAGAGTTAAAAAAATAAAAAAAACTTCAGTGGTGTTGCACACTATTTTATATTATTTTTTTAAAGTCATTGTTAACCCTTTAAAGCCGGTCAGAGCAGCACGCTCCGTTTTGCGTAACTATTTTTAAATCCCTGTAGAACCTGAACCGTGTAAGCTAGCACAATAATTTGTTTTGCATATGAAACCAGAGGAGTTGTACTTACATCTGATGCCATCAGCTTGTCCTCGGTCACGGTTTCGTTCCACATATAGCTTTGCAAAAATTGCATAAAAAGCGCTTGCAGGAACAAAAACATAATATTCCAGAAACACGCTTTGCCGTTCCTGTCAGCTGTTCGTAACACTTCCCACAGTGAAATGATGCACGTGCTGTTTTCTTTGCAAATTTGCATCATAGGATTGTTTTTTGTTTTTCCTGCAGTATATAAAAATTGCTGTATCTCCAAAATAAAACTATGAAGACACTCAAAATAAATTTCCTGTGGTGGGAAACTATTTTTTTGCAACTTTATTGTATTTAAAGTTTTGAGGGATAAACCTCTTAAATTTCTCCAAGTAGAAATATATGTAAACAAAACAAAAGCGATTTTCAATTTTTTTTGTAGTTTATTGCACTTTTTTGCAATTTATGTAATTACTATGGACTTAATGCATACATATTATTAAAATATGGGCTATAACAGTTGTATTGATGTATAGCAACTTGAAATGCTCCCACAAATGGCACTACAGCATGTAAAAAAAATAAATAAAAATAATATAAGCTCTGGTGGACTTGGTTCTATAGTAGGTCTTAAAGGGTTAAATAAATATCGGCAAATAATCGTGATCTCAATTTCAGTGAAAATAATCGTGATTATCATTTTTGCCATAATCGAGCAGCCCTAGTTACACCCATGAACGGCCGCCTCAGCAATGGAGGTGCTGACTATGGTCCAGTCGGTCTCAATGTCCCCAGGGTTCCTCGGAATAAACACTTTCTATTTATTTATGATCATTGTTAATATTTTAATAAATGTATTTATATAATTTTAAGGATTTTTTTTCATGTTTTTTAATTAATATTTTTATATTGATCAGTGGGTCTAAGTCCTGTCCTGGTATTTGGGGCTTCTGATTGTTTTTGTTTTTTCTCTGTGGGACTGACACTGATGCCTGTGGGTGTGTAGCAGCCCCTGCAGGATGGGACTGACCCCGACCCCTACGTGAAGCTCTATCTCCTCCCCGACCCTCAGAAGATGAGCAAGAGGAAAACGAAGGCGGCGCGACGCACGTGCAACCCGACCTACAATGAGATGGTACGATCCGCTCACAGCGTCTGGAAGTGCTGTGAGATACTGCTATCGATGTGCTAAGTAAATACTGGCCCAGCTGTGCAGATAGTAATGATAATGCAGCAGTGAGCTGCATGCTGGAGGATAGAAACAGTGTCGCTCTGATAGCAGTGTTGGTGTTAACCTGTCGGTATTTGGATTGTTCTGCATCTCTGGTGTAAAGAATCGCGGATGTCACTGTGGTTCAACTCTTAGATGTTGATATGACTAACTTTGCTGTTTCCATAGCAACATCACTTTTGCCTCCCTTTGTGTCCCCAGCTGGTGTACGAGCGGATCCCACGGGGGGACCTGGACCAGAGGGTGATCCACCTTCGGGTCCTGGGAGACGGCGCCTTCTGGGAGAACACGCTGCTGGGAGAGACCTTCATCCCCCTGAAGAGGCTGGTCCCAGGTCAGCACTGGGTGGGCTGGCACAAACTGGGCCCCCCTGGCTCAGACTTCGCCCACTGATGGACAGGAAACGGGAGGCAGCGGACTTAAAAGAAAGAAGAAGAACTGCAGGCGTTCCTGCTGAGGGGGAACGGTGAAACAAAAAAAGGGAGATCCTTTCAAAGTAAAAGCCTTGTGGCTGCTCTGCGGGTGTCGTGCCACGCTCGTTAGTTTATAAGAGACTGAGTTTTACTTCAGTGAACGAGTTCCACTAACGAGCTCGCCCTGACCTTTGACCTGAGAGCGACTGAAGGAGTGGATTCCTTTTTTAACAGACCTACAGGAGCTCAGACGTGCTCGAGCTGTTTCTTCTTCTTCTCCTCGGACCGCAGCAGGAAGTTGAACTGTGAAAAAGGAAACGAGGACAGAGGCGCGGTGAAGAAGACGAAGCAGGTTGAAGAGCGTGGGCAGCGCCGCTGAGAAGACTTTTGGTTATTTTTTATAGCGGGTTTGATTTATTTTTAAAGTGCGACTGACTGCCGGCTGCTTGCGTCCCTATGTTTCATTCCTGGTTTCTGAACCATGTCATTTCCTGTTTTTAGCTCAATGACGGCGGGCGTTTTGTGATCAGCTGATTTTTGTGTTTGCGCTGTAAATGAATGCGAGGTTTTCACAATGACTGCTTCACACGTTTAAAGACGAGAGAAATCTGAAGAATTTCAAAATTCTGAAACACTGAAATTTAATTTTTATAGTTGGATTGTTTTTGATCATGTGACTCTGTGACGTCATCATGCTGCTCATTCAATCAGCTATCACTTCTCTCCCTGAGGGCACTTTCCCCTGATTGGCCAGCATGCAGAAGCCTGCTGAGGGGCAGCCTGTGAGCTGTTAGAGCCCCCTGCCTGTGGACATGTCATTCCACAGGCAGGGGGCGCTCTCGGGGCAAATTTCATCCTGTTTTTGATGGAAGAGTTCGACAGTTTCTACTGCAGTGAAGTCGCTGAGGACATCACAGCACCACGAGCCGCTTTACAGCACCCTGCGTTTTGATTTGGGGTGTGAAGCCAGCTCCTGCTTCTGCTGCTAACGTGTGCTGGAGGTTTGGAAACAGGCGCCGTCAAGGGAGGACGTCCTGTCCTGAACTCTAACCGACCAAACAGCAGGCAGCAGTAGCGTGCTGGTGTTTCATGGGTAAAATCAGGTCCGCACGAACAGTTCAAGTGTTTGTATTTGTTCTGCATCATGTGACTGAGGTCCTGACCAATCAGATGAGGTTGCTGTGGGTGAAGAAGCATGATGACGCGCAGAAGCAGGCTTTGTTTGGATGCAGCTTCACTGATGACGACCTGTACAGACGAATGATTCTGAACCTTTTCTATTGTTTGCACTACACAATAAACTTGAAATGAAAACAGCTGAAGGTGGTCTGTCCTCCTCTTCCTCCCTCCTCCTAGGGTCTACACCTGCCTCGTTTCCTGTGTCCGTGCTGCGAGGGATAAAGGTCGGCCTGGTTTTAGAAGCTTGGCTTGGTCTATCAGATGTCTGGGGCTAAAGAGGGTGGAGCTCAGGTGAGCACAGTGTGGTCTGTAACAGCAGGTCTGCAGTCGAGGCTGAGATTTCATTAAAATCCAAGAATGCCAGAAATCTCTTTAAAATGTAGAATAGAAAACAATAGAGTCCAGGTGAACCACTCAGGTCTGCTGATTGGCTGTCGGCTCTCGGGCAGGTACTCCTGCAGTGGCGGCACAGAAAACACCCCACGGACGTCTTTGTTACTACAGTTTTTAATAATATTTTATATTTGCGGGTGGCTGTAGCTCAGGAGGTAGAGCAGGTCACCTGCTGATCGCAAGGTTGGTGGTTCGATCCCTGGCTCCTCCAGTCTGCATGTCAAGTATCCTTGGGCAAGATACTAACCCCAAGCTGCTCTCCGATGCGTCCATCGGAGTGTGAATGTGTGTGGATGTAGTTAGAAAGCACTACGTATAGATAAAGTGCTTGTGAGAATGGGTGTGACTGGGTGAATGAGGCATGCTGTATAGAGCGCTCTGAGTACTCCGGGGGAGTAGAAAAGCGCTCTATAAGAATCAGTCCATTTACCATATTTACGTAGGGCAGATTTTTACAAGTAATGTGTGGATCAGATATCAAGCATCTCAATCCCAATGTTGATATTGGTATCAGATCGATACTAGTGTGACTGGACCGATACTTGGTCTATCCTCTGAACTGTTAAATAATTTCTAACAAATAAATATCCCAGAAACCTCTCTGAACCTTTCTGTGGTGCCAGGTTTATTCATAGCCACATTTAAACTACAGGAGCTGAGCCGACCGCTGTAGACACGGGCACATTTACAAGCAGCTCTTCAAAATAAAAGCTGAAATGTGTGAGAAGGCAGGACACACTGGTCTCCCCTACATCAGCTGCCTTTAAAGGGTGTCTGTGTCAGCAGTACTGGTCCTGTATTTACTTGGTATCAGAACGCTAAACTTTTTTACTGCAGGCTGGCTCGTTTTGGTTCACTTTTTATGTTTCTGTAATTATTGTGAAACTGCAGATTTGACAGATCCAGTTGTAGGCACAGTTTGGATGTCTTTGGTTTTTACATTAATCCTGATCTGTTTCCTGTGACGCTGACGGGACAGCAGGACCTTTGACCCTTGCCGCGTCCTCACACAAAAGCAGGTGATCCTCCACAGCATCATCCAGCACCTAGCTTACACACACACACACACACCTGCATACAGTATTTATGGAGTTTAGTTTACTGTCAGATTTTGATCAATGATTTCTGATCCTGGACTTGACACCTGATCCCAGTGTCAGCCTTTTGGTATCGATCCGATATCAAGTAAATGCAGAGCCAGTGCGATACCAATACTGATACTTTCAGCTTATGTGAGAGAGCCGTGTGTCTCTTTGTCCCCGCAGCCACATGTCCCTGAGCCTGGTTCTGCTGGAGGTTTTCTGCTTGGAAAAATCACATTTTTCCTTCCTACTGTTGCCAAGTCGTAGGCTCGTAGGCGTTTGTCTGATTATTGTAGGGTTTTTATCTTACAATATAAAGTGCCTTTGGTTGACTGCTGTGATTTAACGTTATATGAATAAAACTGAATAGAATGGGGAGCAGTGTGTCCTGATTCATGAGATGAACCATCATCTATCGGCAAATTCTGAACACATGAATGAAAGGCTTTATTAGCCACATGCAGGTTGCATGGTGATATGAGATCTTCTGTTGTTGCCTGTTAAGAGTCGCGCTGCACAGTCTGAAGATGATCTAAAGCTAATTGGTTAAGACACGTAAAAAGACAGGAAGAAATAGAAGCATGCATAATCATCTCCAGTTCAGCCTTTTTCACCATTAGTCTGAGTTTTGAAATGTTCCTTAGATGATGACTGACGTTTACTTTCCACAGTTGGCACAATAAAACACAGCTTTCATCTTTTATTTTGGAGAGCTGAATGTGAACGTGCCTGTCTAATGTGGCTGTAAATAAAACAGGCACCACAGAAAGGTTCAGACATGTTTCACAGCATGTTTGACGCATTTGTTCATTAAAACACTCAGTGCGCTACATACTGAACTCGGGGGATAGAAACAAAGTATCGATTTAATACCAATATGGGCATCGGTTACTATGGGCTACTATCCATACTGGGTCCTTTCACCATCTCCAGTGTCTGAGCCGCTTCTATAAATTGACCGTGGGAGCTTCACGCTGATAAACACGTGGCACACTCGAGCCCAAGTTTCGTTTATGTAACGGAGACGCAGGAGCGAACAGCACCTCCTCCTGCACTCCCTGCCCGCGGCCTCCCGGAAATAGAGATTCGCGTCATAGGCGACGGTCCCCGGGCTGTCTGATGAAATCTCTCAGCGGACGGACGGAGCGAAGCGGCCGTGGAAACTGCTCTGTATTCGGAGACCGCACCAGTATTAACGCCAGGAGGAGTCCGGAGAGCACCGCAGACTGATTATAACCCGGTGAAGTGCTGCTTTGGTTGGAGTATTTGAATCCGTCTCCGCCTCCGGGGAACTAACCGTCAGGCTAACTAGCTGCTAGCGCTGAGCTAACGTGCTAAGCTAACTGGAGCCCCGCCGCAGACAGAATGGCCCGTTGCTGGTCTCCACACCCGGTACTCTTCGTGTCTCAGCACTTGGGTTTCTCCACCTCCGTCCGCACAGAGTTCTCCACAAGAAAGAAGCACCACTGTCAGCAGAGCACCACGGCCCGCGGATCCTCCCGCAGCTGTAGCCGGTGTGTGTGGTGTGCGGAGTAGGCGCGATGAGCTGTTGGATTAGCAGCTAACGTGCTAACAGCCTGTTCGTATTGAAGTTGTTCGCACATTAAACTGAGGACATGTTCAGAAATATGAGTGAAGAAGGACGTTTAATGGGCGGGAGGCGCCCCCCCTCATCTTCCTCCTCCATGCCCGGACTGGACAGCCAGGAAAGTTCGTGGATCGGCTTGCTGTCCAGGCCCGCGATGGCACTGGTGGAGAAAATCCGGAACCGAACTCTGAAAAGCAGCTTGGTTACCGAGGAGAGCGAATTTCTTAGCCCGCTGGAGGACGTGCAGCTCGGGCCTCCTCACCTGTCCTACCTGCAGTGTGAGCCCCGAGGCGTGGGGGCTCTGCCATGGCTCTCCGCGGACTCGCTACGGGAAATCGGGCTCCAGAATGGGGCAGAGGTGGACCTGAGCCTCTGCCAGCAGACCCAATTCAGATACCTGTCTTCGTTCCGGGCTGTTCTGGGCCACATGCTACTCAGTTCTCAGGAAGTAAAACCCCCGGGAGGGCAGAGCTGGTCCAGCAGGCCATGGTGGGACAGCTTCTGGGGGGGCAAGGAGTGCTCGGAGAGGGAGCAGCTGTCCCGCGGGATGCTGGGAGAAAATGCTGGAGCCAGCGACCACAAAGAGCAGCTGGTGAACAATGGAAGCCCCCCCACAGTCCAGAACGCTGTGGCAGACCGCCAGCTCAGCATCAGAGATCCACAGAACTGCTCAGGAGCCACCATCGCCGCAGCCTTACCTGTGACCCCCGAGCAGGACCATGGGTACTCCAGCCTGGAGGAGGAGCACCTGTCCGGCGTGACGTCCGCCAGAGCAGAGCCGTCGCCACCACAGGAGACTGAGGGGATGGAGGAGGTGGTGCTCGCCGTCCCTCAGTGCCAGAACAAAACTATCAACTTCATCATGGGTGGCCCTTGCAGCGAGGATGAGGACAGCCAATCAGAGGAGTCATCCTCTGATGATGATGATGATGGCTTTGACAGCGAGGGCTCCTCTGAGATGTCTGATGACACTAATGATGATGATGAGGATGATGACAGTGAGGCGGAATCAGAGGTGGAGCGTTTGTGGCGCTCTCTGTGCCACAGCGAGGACCCCTATGACCCCCGAAACTTCACTGCCCGCCTGCACACGGGTGTCACTGCACCTCGTGCCATCCCTGTCTCCACGCCACCATCCTCTGCTCAGTCTTCCCCCTCCTCCTCTCCTCCCTCCAGCCCTGACACATGGGACGACTCGCCGTCTGCGAGCGAGGCTGATGAGGAGAGCCTCCGCCTGTGGGACTCCTTCAGCTCCTCCTCAGACCCCTTCAACCCACTCAACTTCCAGGCTCCCATCAGGACCCGTGAGTCTGCCACGGCGAGGGCCAGGGAGAACTCCGCCTACCGCCGCCTCCGCCAAGAGTCTCCACCCGAGTACAGGAAGGAGGAGGCAGAGGACCGGATGGACAGCGGTTTCTGTGACGCCTCCGCCCGGAACTGCAGCTCCATGAAAAAGGTGCGTTGGGAGACAGTGCTGCTGGGGCGGGTCAGGTGGTTAAAACACTGATTAAGGTACAGGTGAGGCTCACCTGAGGGACAGTCAAAGGGTCTTTGTTAGTCACACCTGAACACACCTGCAGACACACCTGCCCTGTGGGGTTTTGGGAACAGTCAGAGTGAAAGTGAAGCTTCAGTCTGTTCTTGGTTCAGGTTACTGCGGCTCGCTCTGCGTCAGGAGCTCATGAACAGGTGAGACAGAGAAGGTGTGGAAAATAAAGTTTATTCAAAGTGAGCTGAAAGTTTCCAGCAGAAGAAATCAAATCTTCACGCTGCATACTGATCTCTCGACACACCTGTAGCTTTTCCATGTTCATTACAGCAGATGCTGTTCAACCTTTCCAACACTTTCAGTGTTTATTCTCAGGTTATGTGACATATTTAATTATTTAATCTAAAATATTTAATAAATCTCTTAATTTAGGATTTAAAAACTATTTTTAAGAAGTTATTCATTGTGTGGCTCTGCTGAATGTTTCTTCCTGTTAAAAGGGAGTTTTTCCTTTCCACTGTTGCAGAGTGCTTGCACCGAGGCAGTTGTCTGATACTTGGGCTTTGCGTGTTCTTGTGGGTATTTACCTTCCAGGTAAAGCACACTGAGTTGACTGCTGTCACCGACTTTGGGGTAAACATGCTGATTTGAACATGGGAGTCTGTGGCACCGACTCACTGCTGGAGCCTCTGCTGGCCGTCAGAGGAACTGCAGCTGAGGAGTGTTTGACAGTAAACATGAGTCAGACAGCAGGAAGCTCCGCCTCCTGTGGGTTTGTTTGCTTCCTGGAGAGACGTGAGGAGAAACTGGATCGGTGAGCTGTAATTAGCTTGGAGCTTTATTTACTCTGTAAACACGGCCAGTTTATTAGTAACTCCCAGTTCAGCCTTTACCCAGAGTTCCCACCAGGTTGTCCGGACAGCTGTGATGGTGAGCCCACATCTGGGCCATGAACTCAGAGACGCTCTTTTCGCCCCTGAAAGCCAAAAACACAGCGCCATGATGGTTGAACGACTTATCCTGTGTCAGGTCTTAATGAAGGACGTCTAATGTCATAACGTTTCCCATCAGATTTCAGCTTCAGTCAGATCCTCCAAACGTCCTTCAAACATCATAAAAGCCTGAAACTCACTTTGATTTGGACCCAAAGATTTAACCAAACCCGACGATCCTGCTGCTTCAACTTATCCCCAATACAGATGTAAGGATGTAGGGAGTGAAACAGTCGAGTCTGTCACTACCCGATCGGTACCCCGCATGCGTGAAAGGTTTCTACTTCCGGTCGTAGCGTTTTACGATAGTTATGGGTCAGAGTATCTGTTAAAATGTTAAGAATAACAAGTATATCTTAAAATGTTTGCAATAATGAAGCATTTCAGTACAATGTAGACAAAAACGAAAAATAAAAAGAAAGTTACGGATCAGGACTCTCCGATCCTTACTGCGCATGTGTAAAGTCTGACCGTACAAATCGGGTCTACCCGATCCGTACCACGCATGTGCAGATGTTTTCTTCTTCTTCTGTTCGTTTAATGGCAGTTTACTCCCCAGTGTACGAGGATACCGCCACCTGCTGACCGAGCGAATAAACCCTATTATAAACTGAATTATCGTCATTACAAACGTGTGTTAAATCTGATTTAGCGATAGTCGAGTGTGTTTATGCTCGTCTGTGAGGAGAGGATTGTTGGAATAGTGATGATGATGTGCGCTATCACTGTCAATTGTCAGTAAACACTTCATCTGGCTGATGAATCTACACGTGAGATATTACAAAGTCTGTATTATTAACTCTGTAATTAGGCGCCATTTTTCTTATTTTACGGCGCTGTTGCTCAATCGGGGGACGCTCTCTGTTGAGGAGAAAAGCATGAATTTCTTTGTATACGGATTATCCATTGTTTAAATGTCCCGGGCAGTCGAAAAGGAGTCAGAGCTGCTGAGAAATGCTAGGAGCTAACTGGGCGCTAACTGTATCATTCAAATATATTGAATGTCGCAATGTTGGCAAAGAGAGGAAGTGATGTAAGATTTGCGCATGCGGGGTACCGATCGGGTTTCCGGTACAGATCGGGTAGTGACAGAGTCGTTTGAAAGCTGATTTGTTCCTGGAAGTTTCAGTGACCTGATGACCTTTGACCTTTCTTTGTATTACCGAGCTGATGTCGTTTTCTCCCTCTCTTTTCCATCAGGTTCGTTTCTGTGACGATGTGGAGGAATTCTTTGCCAGCTGTGGGGAGGAGGAGGACCGGCGGGGCCCGTGGGAGGAACTTGCCCGAGATCGCTGCCGCTTCCTGCGGCGCTGCCAGGAGGTGGAAGAGAGCATCGCTTACTGCCTTCAGCCGCAGCACCGCCGGCGCGTGTACGAACAGCTTGCCGTGATTAGGCATGCTCCTCAGGGTGTTTTTCTGGCGGCGGGCCCGAGGCAGAGTCCAGCTCCACTGTGAGGAAGAACGCCGCTGGGTTCTTCAGTGTTTCTGAGCTCCGAGCCTCATCAGCTTCCTGCTTCCTACCACAAACCCATGAGCACCACAAAAGAAGAAGAGAGGTCCAGACGCTCCACGTCTGGAAACGCTGTCAGTGTTAATGTGCAGAGCTGTGAGGGTGAGGATGATGAAGGCTCCCGCCTCTGATTAACCAATAAAAAGTCCCCGTCTGCAGCAGCTGGGCATCCAGCTGTTTCCAGTGTTTTCACTCTGAAACCAAAGAAGAAGAGTTTGTGTGTGTTTGTGTGTGAGCGAGTTCACCTGTCGCATGGGCAAACCTCCCCCAGACTCACTGATAATCAATACTGAGTTTTCCTGATCACTGTGTATTAACCCTGCGTGTCCAGCCGGAGGCGCTCTTGCTCCCTCTCCTTGTAATTCAGACTGGACAGAAACAGCTGACACGTCAGAGCCGAGGCCCCGCCCTTCAGAGCGTTCAGCGGTCAGAAAGATTGACGCTGTGGCAGATGTTCCAGATGTTTCTGTGACTGACAATGAGGAAGAGCGCTGCCTGAACTGTTTGGCGTCATTTTAGCGAGAGAAGCGTTTTATTTTTCTAACTGCGTGTTTGCCAAGGACTCGTGCCCATTGATCGTCTCACAGACTAAATATCAATCTAAATAAATCCAATATTTAATGATCGCACACGGCCTCCTGTCATTCTCCTCACACCTGCACACACCTGCCCAGCTGTCAGCTGCGGTACCACTGGCAGCCTCCAGGTGGTGGTAACAACAAGCTTCCTGATTTGTGTTCAGGGTGGATTCTGTTAGAAAATGTCACACAGGTCTACGGACCAATCAGCTCCCAGGTGTCTTCCTCACACCAATCGCAGGCAATGGAAACCATTTAAACTTAGTTGTGTGGTTGCTGGGTGTCGTGATCTGTCTGTAGGCCTGTGCGGCTGACCTTTAAATCACCCTCAGGGACAGGTCGCAGGTATTTATTAGTGATACTGAGACATTGGTCTGATACAGAGTACACAGCATCAGTATTACAGACACCTGTACAGATACTGTTGTGTTGGGGAGAGCAGAGTGTCCTGATTCATGATAAGAATCGTAATCAAAGTGCAAATTCTGAACACATTTTACTGACCATTAAATCACTGTGACGTTTACTTTCCACAATAATGACTGAACACAATAAAACACACCTCTCAGCTTTTATTTTGAAGAGCTGAATGTAGACTTATGTCTAATGTGCTACAGGCTGCAAATAGAACAGGCACCACAGAAATGTTCATTGAAACATAATCAACACTCAGTGGGCTACATACTGGACTCAACAGGATAGAAACCTGTTGCACTAGTTATGATGATAACAGCGTTGGCATTGATGCTGTCGACGTTTGGTTCGATCTGCCCACCTGTAGCGTCAATCACTGATTTCTGGGTCAGTCATTAAAAATAATCAGCACAAGCAGCGTCTGCAGGGTCATAGGTGGAGCAGGAAGTCCCACACCGTGCTCGCTGAACTGCCCGAGGTAATAAACGTGTCAGTAAAGGGTTGAATCATTGTCGGGAAATTCAAAGAGACACACACTTCACTTCTTACACACTGCAGATTTTATTGGTCCGAGTTGAAAGCAAAGAGAGAACGCTTACAGCTTCAGGTGAGAGCTCAGCATGTATGCAGGTGATGCAGCCAGACACACGCAGGTACTCGACAGCTTTCATCATTTCTCATCTAATGTTCTAAAATGTTCTTAATTCAGATCAAACTGAGGTTATTGTACTTGGCCCTGAAAATCTTAGAAATATGGTATGTGTCACTACCCGATCCATACCGGAAACCCGATCGGTACCCCACATGCGCAAATCTTACGTCACTTCCTCTCTTTGCCAACATTGCGACAGTAAATGTATTTGAATGACACGGTTAGAATAGAATAGAATAATCCTTTAATTGTCCCACAAGGGGAAATTTGGTTGTAACAGCAGCCAAAAAGATTAGCTCCTAGCATTTCTCCACAGCTCTGCCTCCTTTTCGACTGCCCGGACATTTAAACAATGGATAATCCGTTTACAAACAAATTCATGCTTTTCTCCCCAACAGAGAGCGTCCCCCGATTGAACAACAGCGCCGTAAAATAAGAAGAATGGCGCCGAATTACAGACTTAATAATACTGACTTAGTAATGTGTCACGTAAAGATTCATCAGCCAGATGAAGTGTTTACTGACAACTGACAGTGACAACAATCCTCTCCACACAGACAAGCATAAACACATGACTATCAATCAAATTAAACACGCGTTTGTAATGACGCTACTTCAGTTTACAATAGGGTTCATTCGTTCAGTCAGCAGGTGGCGGTGTCCTCGTACACTGGGGAGTAAACTGCCATTAAACGAACAGAAGAAGAAGAAAACCCCTGCACATGCGCGGTATGGATCGGGGAGTCCTGATCCGTACCTATCTTTTTATTTTTCGTTTTTGTCTTCATTATATTGAATTGCTTCATTATTGGAAACATTTTAAGAGATACTTGTTATTCTTAACGTCTTAACAGATACTCTGACCTGTAACTATCGTAAAATGCTTCGACTGAAAGTAGACACCGTTCGCGCATGCGGGGTACTGATCGGGTTTCCGGTACGGATCGGGTAGTGACAGTATGTATGGTTGCATGTCTTTATCCTGTTTTCCTTCTCTCACCCCAACCAATCACAGCAGATGGCCCCGCCCCTTCCTGAGCCTGGTTCTGCTGGAGTTTTCTTCCTGTTAAAAGGGAGTTTTTCCTTCCCACTGTCGCCAAAGTGCTTGCTCATAGGGGGTCATATGATTGTTGGGTCTTTACCTTACAATATAAAGCACTGAGCATGCTGCTGATCATTGAGGCAAATGTTGTTGAGATTTAGTGCTATATAAATAACACTGAATTGAAAAATGTAATTATTATTAATTAATAATAATGAAATAATATTTAATTATTCTTATTGTGTTTTAACAAATTCTGTTTTATTCATTTTAAAGTTTGATTTTATTGTGCAAATGTATAAGGTTTAGTTTTACTTTGGTTATATGTTTGAGAATATTCTGCCAGATTGTTTCCCTACCCAACACTGGCTGATTGACTTAACTGAGTAACCCAACAGCAGGCATGAGACCCAGTCTGCATCTGGAGGTTGGTTGCAGAAGGCCAGTCAGCAGCCATGATGTGGTGCACCAGATGTAATAATTAAGGAGATTTGGAGACCTCGAGAGAAGAGAGCACTGGAGTAGACAAACTCGAGTTGGCGATGTCAGGGTACTAAGATTAAGCCGGCCCCGTAAGTCTTCCTTTGGCGTGATGTCGGGCAGTGACTGTACACGCCTGTGTCCTTCAGAGTAGTGCCACCATTGTGCCATTAGAGCCACTGACAGAGCAGACCTGGGAGCGTCATCAGGAGAGAGCTGCTATGATCAGGGAAGCACTGCTGCTCAGCTGAGGACTCGCTGCTCCCAAACAGTCGCTGAATCTCAGCCTTCAATGAATCTTGGATTCAGGGTAACTAACCACTGCGCCTGTGCTGTTGCTTTCGTCCTTTTTTAAACTTTTCTCTGCGCATTTATTGTTTGGAAATTCCTCTCAGTGATACTGTTTTTGGAATAACGTTAACTTGCCATTTTTAGATCTTGTGTTTTATTATCTCTACTAGTAGAGGTAACTTTAGTACCTTTGCTCTGTTTTATGGGCTTTTACTAATGTTGTCCATCCCACGGACTAACCTCAAATCCCGTGGTGATAGAGCCTTCTCTGTGGCAGGTCCCAGACTTTGAAATAGTCTCCCCTTAAATATTAGATCTGCACAAACACTTGAGCAATTTAAATCTTTACTAAAGACACATTTCTATGCCCTGGCTTTTAACACGCTATGACCCAAGCATTTTGGTCTTATTTGAATTAGTTTAGTTATTGTTTTAATTCTTTTACTGTCCTTTTATTGTTTTTTACTGTTATTATTGTTTTACATTGTTGCTTTTTAATACCATTTTTATATTGTTAAGCACTTTGTGCAGCATCGGCTGTTTGAAATGTGCTATATAAATAAATTTGACCTTGACCTTTTATTGAGGGGGGATAAAAACTGTTTTATAAGTAGTCAAAGGAGCTTGCAAAGAAAAGCGTCTGGACTTCTTTAAGTTGCTTGAAGACGTTTCACCTCTCATCCGAGAAGCTTCTTCAGTTCTAAGGTCAAATGGTGGAGAGTCCCAGATATAAACCTAGTGGGAGTTTCCCCCCACAGAGGGACAAAAGGACCCCTGATGATCCTCTAATCGCCTGAGCCAAGGTGGGAAACTGGGTGTGGGTCCCAATCAGCCAGAGTTTCAGGTGTGTTCATTGTGAAACCTGGCCCCACCTTATCATGTGAATTCCTGAGGTCAGATGGCCCAGGATGTGAGTGGGCGTTAAGGCGTCTGGGAAGGATCTCAGAACTGGATTATAGATGGCAGAGAGTTGGTGTCGTAAACCCCGCCTCTGTTCAAAGATGGTCGCTCACAGTGGACATAGATGCTTCTTTCACTCCTCTTTCAAACCATCTGTCCTCTCTGTCCAAAATGTGAACATTGGCATCCTCGAAAGAGTGTCCTTTGACCTTTAGATGCAGATGGACTGCTGAGTCTTGTCCTGTGGAGGTGGCTCTTCTGTGTTGTGCCATGCGCTTGTGAAGTGGCTGTTTGGTCTCTCCAATGTAGAGGTCTGGGCATTCCTCGCTGCACTGTACAGCAAACACCACATTGTTAAGTTTGTGTTTTGGCGTTTTGTCTTTCGGGTGAACCAGTTTTTGTCTGAGTTTTTGTGTTGCTGGGTCTGAAATGCACCGGGATGTCGTGCTCGGAGAAAACTCTCCTGAGGACTCTCCACCATTTGACCTTAGAACTGAAGAAGCTTCTCGGATGAGAGGTGAAACGTCTTCAAGCAACTTAAAGAAGTCCAGACGCTTTTCTTTGCAAGCTCCTTTGACTACGATGACCTGGATGACTAAGAAGCTTCACAGACATATTTTATAAGTAATTATCTGTTACGTCCTGTCCCCGGCTGTAACACTGCTCTCCCCTATGTAACCTAAATTATTCAAATAAAATCAGTTCCTAGGTTCATCTAAGCCTAGGCGACATTGTCAGAGTTAACCAGTAATCAGTCATTACCATGTTTTGACACATTCTTGGACTTTCTTTATTCACAATATGAGAAGCTGGGACAGGCAGGCCACAACATCCTGAACTGGTTCAGAGGAAGAAGGCTGGATGGTAAACCGTTCAGATGATGCTTTTTTAAATGCCACAGATTCTTCCTTTAACCAGAGGTGGCAGTAGTCCACACGTTTGTCACTACAGAGAAGAAGAAATGCTATGGTTCATGTACTCTACTAAACTAAAGTGGAAGAAGTACAGGCTCTGAAAACAACATTCTTACGCAAGAGTACAAAGTTTACTTCAGCTCTAATTCTAATGACGCTCAGCTTGAACCTTCGTTACGTGGAACACAAACAGCGAAGAAGAAAGACTTTAAAACTCGGCCTGTTTGTGTTTCCCTGCCACCACAGCTGAACACAGGTACAGTCAAGGGTTCAACTGGGATTGATCAGGTGGGGAAGGTCAGGTGTAGCGGCTCAGCGTGGGTAAAAGGGGACCAGGATTTCTGTTCAGGCTGTGATC